TCCCTAGAAAAATATAGGGATGAGTTACAAAAATAGAAGAGTAATACTTAGTTTGTATAAAGAGCAACTGGCAGCTGGGGCTGCAACGTACAGTAGTAAATATTAGGAAGGGAGTCAGACAGGGATGCACACTATCGCCGCTACTTTTCTAGGGATAGTTAAACAGGGGCAAAAGATTAGTATGCTTAGATTTGCAGATGATACAGCAGTATTAGCATCTAGCAAGGAGGAGTTAGAGACAGCTTTAAATAAATGGAAGCGGTACTGACAAAACAGTATTGTATAAAAATAAGTAAAAGTAAAACAAAAATACTGATATGCAAGGGAAGAAATAGTAGGGAAAGGGCGAATATAAAGATAGGAGACGAAAAATTAGATGAAGTGGCTGATTTTAGATATCTAGGAAGTCTAGGTGGTGGTGGGTGCAGCGGAAAAGAAAGGGTTAGAAACGTTCGAAATGTTGTGTTACAGGCGAACGATAAGAAAACCGTGAAGAGAAAAGGTTTGAAATGAAGAAGTATTAGAAAGAATGAAGAACAGAGGATTCTAGAGAAGTCAGTAAGAAATAGGCGAGATAGATTAGTAAGTAATGTTTTCTATAATAAGTTTATTTATGTGCCGTATATGAACTTATAACTTTAATGACAAAGTCGAATGTTGTCAATGTTTAAGAAACATCATCACCCTTTACTACTTATCGTTAGTGAAGGTCAAGGTCCTAAAAATTCCCCGATTATGGCGAGTTTTTCCCTTCATTCTCGACTACTACTTATCTATTTTAAGTCTCACTAATTTTAAGTATCTGTTGAAGGTATAATCCTACCCAGTAATGTTTAATTTCCTTGTTATCCTTTATTACATTTCTGTTCAAATGCGGTCATGTATCGAAATCTGGTTACAAAGGAAAATGCAAGAACACGTATTGGAATCGCACTTTGTGTGACACTCGGCGAATTTTATCTCGAAACAAACGAAAAAGTAAAGCAAGCTTACATAGAAAACACCATAGTTCCGAATAAAACACCGGACCAAAGAAACGGCAGGGATAAGCAAATTTTGCGTGAAATCAAAACTTTTAGGTACCTATTTACAAAGAGTTGGTTTGGAAACATTGTAAACATCTAAACTTCTATGACGATGGTCATAATTAAACAGTCTTATTACATTGTTATATCCTATGCAAAGTTACTTGGAGCCCCAACATTACTTCATACTGTGATACTGGAGCATACATCGTAGGTACCTATAACCTTTAAACATTCTCAGAATAACACAAAAAGTAATTCATTTAATTAAAATGTAGTACGGAATTCATCCATGAATATTTTAACGAAATGAAATGATCAATATCGTGTATGCACTTATTTCAAAGAATAATTTCCATTACATTATTGGGACTTTTTAAACTACACAATATGAAGGCCTTTTCTTCAAATTAAAATTTTTGTAGGGTTAATTTCAATATATTAAAGTGAGCTAATTTTTGATATAATTTTTACCATCACATGTAACCTCAAATTAATGAAGAAATATTGTTAGGGAATTGAACCCAGTTAGTCGTAGAGCAATGGTGTGTAAACTCAAGAGTCCTGGTTCGATTCCCGGCTGCGACGTGACACCAGCAACAAATTTTTCTAATACATTTGATACTTATAAGTATACGCTTTAATTACACTCGTTGGAGTATATTCCTTATTGAACTCAGAAATGAAACAGATCGTTAAAAAAGAAGGTTGAATGAATCTATGAGTGATTGACAAAATAAGTTTGAGAATCCGTGTTGGAAATTAGAACACGACTTTTCAAACATATTTCGTACAGAAGACCTATAGAAGTCATAGACACTACCAATTTTTCTTTGATTTAACGAATATTCTTCATTTATTTTTATTTATTGATGTGTTAAGCCCGTCACTCAATTTGACAAGTTCAGACTCGGTCACAAAAGGTACGTAAATGTTAAATAATATTATTATATATCGTGTAAAAAGGTTCTTAGTCCTTACTTTATCGCCGATTAAACTTTGATGACTTTTATTATCTTCCTTTTCCTCCCTCTACGTCTACCCTTTTAGAAAGATTAACAATATATATGTTTACAAGTATAGGGATACAAAATTAGTTAGTCTGATTGGGTCTTTTAGGTCCTAAAGAACCCAATAAAGCCTAAATAAAATAATTTATCAACAAAACCCTCAAAATTAAATACAACAAGATACAGCATACATGTGTATTACCTAAGACTTTTTATAATAACGGTTTTCGTTTTTTTACAACTTAATCAGCCTTTTCCATAAATTCATTAGGCGTATTTAATGAGCCCTTTTGCCATAGCAGTAAAACAGAAAATCTTTCATTCATAATTTAATGTTTAACATTACTAGTAGGTACAGGCCTGACGCTGAAAGCTGGCGAAAATTTTAAAATGGCGTGGATGCGCGGTGGCAAAAGTAGGNTCATGGATCAAGTATCCATGTAAAGCAATAAAACCATTTAAAATGGCATTTAATATTTTAGCCACCCAACTGAATTATATTTGAAAATTTACACAGCAATGACCTTTTTTATAGAGTCTTATATTATATATCGTCAACCTTCATACCCAATCTTGTACCGTACTCTATAATTGAAGACTGAACTTTACAAATTTATAATAAGGAACCCAAAACATAAATATATCCAAATAATTTGCATTAACGGTTTATATTTTTGAGAATAATTGTATTGCCTAAGCTGCAATTTGCATAAAATCATTACTTAGTGACTCTGTGTGACATTTTTACGATATGATTGCTTACTAAACCATGATACTATAAGAAATCAATTTAAAAAACATTTTTGTGCAACATATTTTTATTTTCTACCTCCTGCTATATCAAACTTAAACAACTTATGAACATTTGATGTAAATAACAACACCGATCTCTAATTAATGCAAGTGCACCTAGTTTCATCAATAAAATGTTACAATACTGAATACTATCAACTTCTACTTCTATAAAATCTATCAGATACAAAAGAAAAGCACGTTGCAGAAATAAAACTTCGATAATCACCTTAATACCATCTTTTTTTCTAGGAAATAAATCTTAAACACAAAACTACTCATTTCTCACTTCAACACTGGCTTAAAGTTACATATTTGTATATGCCATTTTACCAAATGTATTTCTCTGTATCTCTAAAGCGAAGTGCTCACCGCAAGTAGCGTGCATCTAGGGATGTTACTTCAAATTCAAAAATCAACACTCACTGAATGAACGTAGCAAACAACATACCAGTTGTAGCTTGTAGCACGTAATACTACTACAATTAATGTAATGGTTGCTCTATTTTCTTGTCATGCCACTTATGTGTTACTTCACTTTGTTTTTGATTAACCAAATATAAAAGTTGATACAAATTTCAATATTCATTTGTTTCAATGATTGAAGCAAATCCCTGTATTTATGATCACATATGTGACTAATATTCAAATAGGAATGTGCAAGAAAAGATTTGGAAAAGAGGATTATATGCACTGTGTGTTTCTTTGGTTTTCCAGAAACGATGTATTCAGTGTCTTTATTTTGGACAGTTATCATTCATATTGAGTGAATTTACTGAATCTAATACATCTTTAACAGTGACATTATAATACTGTGTGCGTTGAGAAAGAGTTATGTCACGCCACTGTCATGTCAAAATCATCCCTCTTTTGACGCCACGCTTCTTCGGTGGGTGCTCTTCCTGAGGTAACACGCCAATTTTATTTCACTTTAACTCAAAAAAATGCAACCTGTTATACTATGACTAGAGGACTATTATCTTTTCTGAAAAAACCTTCACATCAATTAATACATTTGCAAGGAAATTATTAGATAAAATCTAAACAATTAACTGATTTGCCGTTCCCCCATGTATACATATAAATATGAAAATTTTATTTTTTTTATTCATACGAAGAATTGTACACGTATGTATGTATGTCAGAACGTTCAACCTTTTCTTTTATAAATTGCCCAACTTAAAAACCATCCCTATTTGCATTTTGTTCTGCAGTTGTAAATTGTAGTAGAATAACAAAATATGAAATGAGCCTTGTGACTATCTGCAACAAAAATGTACAGTCGGAAAAATAAAGGACATGATGTTATACCAAAACGTTGTTGGCCTGAATATTAATCTTACATGTCTTTTTAGGAAATGCCTAAACTTCATCAGGCAGAATTACCTGTTATAAGACAAAAATCTACGTATGTCCACTATGCTCGGCCGATGCTCATGAGCGTAGCTAGAGATTTTTCCTAGGAAAGGGCGGATATTCAATAGCTGTAATTTATTAAAAAATAGTAACATTGTCCAGTATTTGTGAGAAAGCATATGCTGTAATGGGATGATCAAGTACGCACGAAGGTTAAAATGTTTAGCTCATGGGGTTATTAGGTTTAAAAAGGATAGGTTTAATTTACTTGGTTTCTATGTTTTTAAACTTTGTGCTAACGTCATGACCTATCAGAGATTTTTCCAGGGGGGGAGGGCAATGAGGTTTCTAGGCGGCACTCCCTCTTTCCCCTTTCTATCTACGCCAATTCTATTCTTAATTAATGCATTAAACTGTTACCAATTTTTTTTAATATTAAATATGTTAACCCAAGAATTATTATACTGAATTGCCTAGAATCATAGGTTACGGTAGGAACAGACAACACAGATGAAGTGAGTGTTACCATTCAGCACTCGTCACTATATGTTGTAAGAATACAACGAAATTAAAAAATACTGAGCAGGTACTGTTCCGAATTAGGATGGAATTTTCCTAAATAAAAGATAAAATTTACAGCACTTTTGTAAAAAATGAAAATATCGCCGAACTTTCGACGTAGTAGTATTAAGTCCACCGCACAAAGAACTGTTTTCTTATAATAGATCATTCTGCCGGTGAAGATTTAGTTACAGCTTTTTTTTAACTCAATAGTGTTTACAGCATATCTATCAGTGTTGAGTTATTACGTAAACATTAAAAGTTGCCCGCTCACCCAAATGTTTACTGACCAGTCCGTTGGCAGAAAGTTGAAAAATTTACGTGATTCCTTCCTAATTGTTGACATAATTAACAGTGATGAAATCTGAAATAATTTCTGTACTATTAAACTTTCAATAGGTATTTTATGTAGCTAAACTATCCGTACCAAAGATGAAATTCTATTGCACACACACTTCGAACTTAATTTGTAGAGGTTGTCATGTAACTGTGACATCTAAAAAATTATAATAATCTCAATACAAGTATTCGACGTATCCAGTTCAAACATGTCATATTTCTTCAGCAATTTATTTTGAATCGATTTAAAAGCAAACTGTAATCAAAGTAAAGGTTAAGCTACACAATGATTAATTTGATAACCCTAATGTTGTTTTTGATCTTGTATCATTATAGCAAGTAATATATTAAGTGAAATGAAACGCTATAAGCCAAAATACTTCATGAAACGCTTTTCTGTGAAATCAGGCTTTAGTGTTTCATTTAGTTCAATTCTACAGAATAGGGACCCAAAAGGACCCGAAAAAAAAATTATGCATGGAAATGCAAATGTCCAAGATCCGCGGCTGGATGTCGTAAGGTGACAAAAGGTTTTAGCGAAATTGACGGGAATGATTCACATTTTTTGTTCCTTCTGAATCAATTTTAACATTTAGGCAGGCAAGATTCCGCAGTGGTCCAAGCCAATTTTAATTTGCGTGATATATAAAAGCGTGACAGGGTGGTGTATGATGATATGTGTTGTATTACGAGAAAATGTGTTTTTGGAAAATCGAAAGAAATAATTCAAAATTTTACAATTTCAGCTTCTTTTTGACCAATTTTCAGATTTGTGTATACGAAATCCCACTGTTTACAGAGATTCAAATCGGCAGGGTGTCGATTGTCGTATGGTAACATGTGTTTTAACGGAAATTGGTTTTTGCATAGTCGAAGGAAATAATTCATAATTTTGGCTTTTTAACCAATTTTCAAATGTAGAAACGCGAAATTTCGCTATTCACAGTGGTTCAATCGAAAGCAAATCCAATAAGGTGTTGCAAGCGACGTCAGGAACAAACAAACTACAAAACCCCGGTCAACCATCAATATACGTTTAATTCAATAACTATGAGAAGTTTTATTATTAACGTATATCTAAGTACAGAAATTTATTCTTGTTATTGGTTAACTCTCCGAAATGATATTGAGGTTTTGAGTTTACTGATTAAGTTTTCTTTTGTTTTGTCAATAAAATATAATTAAGACTTATTTAGCACATCACTAATATCTGTTAATGAAAACCTTATTTTCAATAACAATTATAAACATTCCGTAAAAGTGAGACATCCCATACACACTTACAAACACTTATTTCTGAAGCTCTCTAATTTTCCGTCGATCACGAAATCTATAAAATATTATTTCAAAGATGTTTTAATTCACACATATCCTGAGAAATGTATACATTTGTTGTATAAATTCCGATATTGTACTAGGAAATTTACAGATTTCCTAGTAAATTTATAGATTTCCTAGTAAATGTGTCTAATATAATTTATTTCGCACATTTCTGAGCGATTTTAGGAATTCTATACATTTCCTAGGAATTGTATACAGTGACGGATGACACACATTTTCGCTAACAGATACATCGTGTCATCCAAAGACGATACCTTATTACTGGGATATTAATAAGTAATAAAAATATTTCGCTACACTCAGGGGCGCAACAAGGAGGGGGGGGTCCACGGATGCCTGAGCACCCACTCGATTGGGTTGAGCACCCAGTATATTCCAGTCGATTCAGATAATAACCCAACTTGAAAGTTCGGTAGAAACAGTTCCATGCACTGCATTGATGACCTTTTCGCTAACAGATACATCGTGTCATCCAAAGACGATACCTTATTACTGGGATATTAATGAGTAATAAAAATACTTCGCTACACTCAGGGGCGCAATAAGGAGGGGGGAGTCCACGGGTGCCTAAGCACCCACTCGATTGGGGTGGGCACCCAGTATATTCCAGTCGATTCAGATAATAACCCAAATTTAAAGTTCGGTTCAAATAGTTCAAGCTCGTAAATGAACAGCCGAATTCGATCTTTTCAGTTTATACCCCCCGCAGTATATGAATATTTGTAGTATTATGATGCGAGCACCCAGTCAAACTGTAACGTTGTTGCGCCCCTGGCTAAACTACATGCATACAAAAAAAAGTATCAGTCGATTTCTTACTTTATCATTTAGCGGTTTCAAGCAAAGTATCCATTGGTTCATAAAGTAAAATTGTTGAACTGCCCACAAAATATGAACGAACTTCACTATTTTTAAACCTGAATCCGGGTCGATCATCGTTACATATAAAGTGTAAAGAACCCAACAACTGCAACCATACACGCACCATAAATAATTTGCTTGAAGAAATTTACTGATATTGTCAGTAATATTGTATATTTTTAAGCATATACTATAAAGATTTTCACATTCATTTTCAAGATCAACTTCATTTTGGAATTGCTGTTCCACCAAATTCTTCACATACTCGTTTGTTTTCTGCAACCGATGAATCAGTTTCTCGGTATATATAACCATTGTTGCAGATATAGTGTATAAAAGCAATGTTTGATAGACTACACGAACAAATACAAAATAAACTGATACGTCGTAAATTACAGTCATAATTACCGTCGATAAATTAATACTTAACAATAATAAATTAACACTTAGCAAAGTTTTTAATTTTAGATTGCATTTTTGACATTTATGGTTTAAAAATACTTCTTCTGCTTCTATATCCAATTCCTTAATGTTATTTACAATATGTGGTAACTGAAAATCCCTTCTGTGCGAAACAATCAATAGAGCAGAAATGCTGCAAAATTCAATTATAGTAACAAGTTTATAAAATACTTGAGAAGTTTTTAAAGTTTTCATAATCCCAAACATGTTTAAAATTATATTGAGCAAGCTGATTGCTGGAAAAGAGTACATTACAATTTTCCGAGACACAGGCACATTTTTTTGTTGTTGGGACGCGTGACCAGGTACACCCAAATAATAACAAAAAATATTTAAAACACTCGCTATCTTTGGGTACATCATACTGTTATCGCTAAACGCTGATTTTACTTTGTTTGTAGGCATAGCACAAGTTACTGGAAACAATAACTACTTATGCTCATGCAGTACATACAC